TTTTTATAGATGGCATTATCCAAAATGGACATTCCACCCAGAGCCCAACACTTTTTAGAGTGTGACATCGAAGAATGTGAAAAAAACTGTGAGTTTTATTGTAATAATTGCCATTTAGGGTTATGCAAACAATGCAAAGGGGAACATCTGAAAAGTCCAAAAAAGAAAAACCATGAAGTGGTCCTGTACCAGCAACGCAAAAGACAACTTCCTGTGGAGAAATGTGATATCCACCCTACTAAAGATGTGGACATGCTCTGTGAAGAATGCCAAGTTGCAGTATGTTCTAAATGTGCCACACTGGCAGACCATCGAAGGCATATATTTATTGATTTGGAAACTGTTTATGCAGAAAAATATAAAGTTTTTCAAGAAGATATTTCCAAAATCCACGAGTACTTTCTCCCTACATCAAAAACTTTGAAAAAAGAAATAAAAAAAGATTCATCAGAAATCAAACAGGTTATGGACACCATCAGAACATCAATGAAGACTGAAGGTGAGACCCTGAAAAGTCTGGTGGACACAGTCATATCTGATAACCTGAGGCAGCTAGACCAGATAGAGTATTCACTTTTAGAAGATCTTAAATCCCAAGACAGGACCGTGGATGATTACATCACTTATCTTAATAACCTTCTTAAAGAGCTTCACAGATACCTGTCCCCTACAGAACACAAGAAATTAATGTCTGAGAAGAAGCCAGAGATCCAACCCATACCAGAGACAACAAAACCAGTCACACCAGGATTTACTGCTTGTCAGTACACCAAAAGTGATGTCGCCAAACTACTTGGTAAAACACACATCCCCAACACTAAAGGAGAGAAGAGAGAAATTACTTGTGAGACCATGGAGAGTGTTTACAACCCAGCAGTGAAATCTGCATATAAACAGATGAAAGAAAACAGAAAGAAATCTGACAAGAAACAAACAATGTCTCTATCTGCCTCTGTCACCAAGGTCAGGGAGTTCAGGGTACCAGGTGTTGATGATGTACAACATATTTCACTAGATCAATCAGACAGACTCTGGATCAGTGATGATGAAGGTAACCTTGTCCAAACAGATCTACAGGGGAATGAGATACAGAAGATAGAAACCAGTGGTAGACGTGAAGGTTATCACACAGTGACAGGGGACAGAAATCTGATCTTTGCAGACCAATACAAAAACGTCATCAATAGGATAACACAGGATAACAAAATCACAGAATTCATTAGAACTGGAGACTGGGCACCAATCAGCATACACTCCTCCCACATCAATGGGGACTTACTAGTGGGGATGGTGACAGATGAAGAGGCTAAAGTTGCCAGGTACAACAAGTCAAGGAAAAAACTACAGAAAATACAGAGAGATAACACAGGACAGGGACTATATAGTACACCACGCTACATCACAGAAAATATCAATGGAGATATCTGTACATCAGACTTCAGTAAAAAGGCAGTAGTGGTGGTGAATAAATCAGGACGACACAGGTTCTCCTACACAGGTCAGGGGTCAATGTTCTTTCCCTATGGAATTTGCACTGATGTCCTCGGTCACATCCTGGTGTGTGATGGACACTTTGTAAATAACACTGTTCACCTCCTTGATCAGGATGGTCAATTCTTGTCTCTTTTACTCACACAAAAACAAGGGGTAGGCTGTCCTTGTAGTGTGTGTGTGGATGATGAGAACAATCTCTATGTTGGACAACAAATCTTCAACAGACTGAAAGTGTACAAGTACTAGTATCTCAAGTGATTCTTATTCTGTCATATAAACATACATTGTAAGTGCTTTATGTCTATATTATTAAACACATTTTGACTGTTTTAAAGTAAAGAAAATTATTCTTTTCTTTCCCGATAACACTGACTGTATGTATAGTACGCTTAAAGTAATACAAATTCTAACTATCTGTTGGATTCTGTATCTATCTGTTTATATACTTTACAGCTTTTATAAATTAAAAGTAAATTTTATTGTTTTTTTGTTTATTTACAAAATATGTATATGAAATTTAAAGGTACATTATACTGTAAATCACTTTTTATTCGCGAAAACTTAATTTTCGTGTAATTACGCGAGACAGTGAGCTCGCGAAAATTTCATTCTCATGTTTAAAAGTATTCCTTACGATTATATAGAGGAAAAACAACAATTCGTGAAAATTATGTCTCGCTAATAAAGAGTCAATGACTTTCCCGCGAAAATAAGGTGTCGCGAAAATTTAGTGATCTACAGTATGCTGTAATGTCCTTTTAAAGTAAATATAAATCATGTATAGTTGTGTAATATTTTAATAGTATCTTTAAGACAATTTTTCATCAGACTTTAATTCTATACAAAATCATAAGTTCCTGAACATGACTAGTTAGAATAATCTAACTGTGTCTCGGTACAAGCCCTCATTAAAACGGGTCCGTAGGACAATATCATTTTAACGATAGAACATTCTATCTAGAACATGACCAATAGTCAGGCTATGTCAGATCTTCTTGCTCAGAGTGTAAACAATGCAGATATATAAAGAAGTCTGATTTCAATTAGATTGAAAGAACAGCAAATCCATGTTTTGACATACTGTAAAATTGTATTACATTTGGTGGTGTATTCTTTTAAGCGTTTTGGGCGGAAAGAAACTTCCGCTAATTCAAGTACAACACTAAATGTCTTAAACATATATACATTTATAAGAACATTAAGAAATGTGCTAAATCGAATCTACGCTAACTTGTTCACAAATCAGAAATATTGTATACGCAAAATATGAAACATTTACAGTATTGCTATGGAAGCATCCTCAGGTAGTGTAGATTCAAGATTGATTAAATCATGATGTTCCTTGGGTAGGTTGGGGCCACAATGGGGAATTAAAAGTTTTAAAATGAACATCTTGAAACATACTGGAAAAAATAATTTTCTCAAGAACAGAAAAGCTATGTTTAATCATATTAATATGGAAATATCCTCAGGTGGTGTATCAGTTTGTTCAAAAGATGACCTCTAGATTAGGGAGGTGTCTCAATGGGGATATAATTTTTACAAAGGAAAATATAGTCAAGTACAACAAAGCCATTTGTTACATTAACATGGACGCATCATGAGATAGTTAACAATTCAAATCCCCAGCCACCCCTACCAATCTTTTCAATATTAAATTGATTTGTACTTTTCCCTTGCCGTGACATTAGCTATCAAATATTTTGTATGTGTTATAAATGCATTATTTATATAAATCTATTCATAATCTATTTTTGACATAATTTGAAGTTCTTAAACACACTTTGAAACTAATAGCACCATACTTTGTAAACAACTTCTTTTGCAGACTAAAAACAACATATTACTGATAAAACCAGGCTTTATTGAGAAAAGCATTTTGAAGAGGAAAATTTCATCTAAGGAATTGCACCAAAGTGTTTCATTACTTTCTCAATAAAGAGAAATTCTGCTTACATACTAGTTTTATTTTTTCAAGAATCGATCCCATTAGTATATAAAAACTTGTCACATCGAAGTTTAACATTCAAGCAATAAGGAGATAAATATTACATAAATCATAACACATGAAAAGAAACATTTTTAAATTGTAAAGTTCTTCATAGCTCGTCCAAATAAACATAATAACTGGTCATATTCCACAACAAGATCACACAAGTTTAAGTCTGAAATGTCTTCTTCAGCAACCTATTGGCTTTTGGTGATACTCTTCTGGGACAGATTAATCTTGTCTCCCATACTCAAAGCCATGCCCTAAAAATGGGAAAAAAAAGGACTGGTTATTTTTCATGTAATGTCAAAAAACAAACAACATTTATGGTGGTCTTCTGTTTCTCCTCCCTGAAAATGGGCTTGCATCGTTATCAACTGGTGGTTAGTTTCTTTCCATGTTTCATAACAAAGCATAAAACACTATGGAACACTATGGAAAAACAAACAACATTTATGGTGGTCTTCTGTTTCTCCTCCCTGAAAATGCCAGAGTGCTGGGATACCTTGTCTTATATTACAAATATATATTGTTGACTGGACATTAGACCTGATTACAGTAAGTTCTTAATTTTCTTTTACTAACACTTTGCTTGGTTGAATGAATGAGTATGAATGAAATATAGTATTTGATGACTTAATAGAAAATGTGTAAAATCATATAGTAAATGGTTTATAAACCTATAAAATATAAATCTATATTGATTAAAATCAATATGATTAAAATCAGATCCTTTGATCCGCTCACATAGATCGCTACCTTGTGTAGCGATCTATGTGAGCGGATCAGAAGATCTGATTTTATTCAGATTGGTATAATATTTATCCATGAAACAAAGCATAATAACAAGGGACTTTTTAACACCCAAGAAAAATACGTCATGTTTTTGCGTACTACGTCATCAGTTTCAGAGAGTGGTGATATGGATCCAGAAAACCACAGTGTGGTGATCGGAAAATCGGATCAAACTCTGTAAAATTAACAGTAACAAAAACAAGGAAATTGATGGGTATATAATAAATATGAAATATGCTTTTTGATGAGATCTGACCTTAAGAAATATGTTAATATTGTATCTATATTGCAAGATTTAGTAAATACAACCATATGTTCAATAATATTGGTCAGATATGGTTTGGACGTGACACGCAGTTATTATCAGAGGACAGCCTAGGTCCACAACTTGGTATATTTATTGATATAATTACTTATTTTGATATTTGTAAATATTTTTGGTAAATTATATAAATTTACTTGAGCTTAAGTGCATATGGTGAAATAATAATTATTTCTTTTTATTTGTAAATTATATTATAAAGCGATAATAGAAATATCAGTGTAATATAGATTTTTATGCTAATGAAATAATTTGTGATAAAATATATACCTATGTTAATGTTATGAAATATTTATTATGTTTACATGTTTTGTAGGTTTGTTTACCATCTATAAATATATTATCACAATTAAAAGAACCCACATCACCAACTGAGTTTTTTGTATGATTATTGGGGAAAACCCGGTTACACCAATATAAAATTTACATTGTGAAGGTAAGAATCTGAAACTAAAATCACTACTCTTACCTGACTCTTTGCCCTGATTCGGATGTGACCTTGAACTGGGGCATCCCTGGACAGATGGGCAGGTTTCTCAATGCTAAGATTTGCCAGCACATTTTCTCCAAAGATGGACTTGGCATACAAGTTAGCAGCCATAAATCCACAGTCACCTTGTAATGCCTGGATGGAAGACACACGTCGTATCAACACAGATTTTTGTATGTTATTTTCAAAATAATATAATGTCTGTCCTACAGAGTAGCAGTTTTAAATCTTGGATACTAAGTATTTTATCTACTAATTTATGAATAAAAATCGTTCAATTACAGTCTTAAATGATTTCTTTGATTCTTAAAAAGATGTACAACCTACAAGTTTAAATAGTAATTTTCTTAAAATCAATCTTAAAATTACTCATACTAATTTATTTTTCAGGAGTTAGACATCTTTTTATGAACATGTTATTAATCTTAATGAAAGAGTTATCTCCCTTATCAGTTTATTATGTAAATATCCACCTTAAAATAAATACGTTAAGAAACATTACCTTTTCAGGAGTGAGACATCTCATATTGGTCATTTTGATGACGTGCTGTAAGAATTCGGCGAGGTCCGAGACGTTGGTATTGACGGCCACCTTGTTCTCCCACTCAAACTCTGCCCACATCTGTCGGAATTCCGTGTCATCACAGGAGGCGGGGACGATGTAATCCATGATATCAATGTGGATGTCATTCAGCACCACACAGTTACGGTCACTTCCTGCTCCGCTGACATCATACACTGAAATTTAATTACCATATTCATTAGCATTTTAATTACAGTCCTATGTGTAATGCTGTATTTTTTTTCGTTTCCTGTTTAATACTTCATTTTCACAATACACAGATAAATAGAATTACATACACCTGAATTAATTTCTTTTGAGATTTGATTACATGTATCGTACAAGGAGTGATACACAGTATAAAAAACTAGGATTATAAAATTGAGAAAAACAAAATGGCTTTATGTAGCGCAGAAATACAGTGTACTTAAATTAGGATATGCAGAATCAAAGCTGAATGCGTTATTGCTTATGGAATGCTTTGCATCATTAACAATTTTATACAGAGTTTTCATCACAGTGTCAATCATGAATACAGTGGGTTTTTTTTCACATCTGTCATTTCAAAACATTAAACATTACTACGTGGAATGTTCAACAAGTAAATGTACATACCGATATTTCCAAATATGATTCCATTTTCTGTGGAAGCTACTTTAACATTAGCCTTAATGTTACAGAAATCATGGGGTGCCATGGTCATCGGTGTGGGCTTTTCTACCAACTTCAGGTCGCCTGAAATCAAAATTTTCTATTAATTGTAGAAATCCTAGTTATTAGAGCACAAATCAAGCATATTTCTTAATCTGTGGTCCAAACATTTCTAATTAAATTAGTTAATGTTAGCAAACATCCATCTTTTATTTTGTTTGTCCGACCCTCTTCTCAGAATTTACAAATCTCTGACTGAACAATATCACACTTACCCAGAGTAGCTAGCTCTACGGTCAGATTCTGTAATGTGTCAGAGGTCTGGTTGACCACTAGTATGTCTAGTACAATGTCAAACTGGTTCACGTTGACGTAAGCCTCTGCATACACTGGGTCTGAGAAACCAGTCAGCTGGGACACCTACAGAAAAGAAACCATTCCCAATTTATTCTGAAGGACATGACAGCAGGTTTTCATAAGGTTGAAGTACAACAAACATACCCTATATTTATTTTCATGGATTCTGAACTGAAAACTTTGCTTCCTAAAAGTAATTTGACAAATGTCAAGTTGTTTAGTGCTACCGACCTTGTTCAACTTAGAAGCTCCAATAGGATCAGTATCTTTCTTGGATGACATTCCCAAAGCCTGGGACAAGGTGAGCTCAAACATGTTCTGAAAAAAAAGGAAATTCATGTTCATTTCCATGCAAAAAATTAAGGCATACATACTACCTGTTTATAAAAACATGCATTTTCCTTGTCATTTTTTTTAAATGTTGCAGAATATTTTTCTCCATAAATATTCAGTGTATAGCATACCTCTGTTGCTCCCATTTCAGCCTTGTTGACAAGCTGTGCAAACATTATAGGATCATCAGCTTGTACTTTCACAGCTCTCTTCTCAGAGGCCTGAAAACAGGGGGAAAGTCATAACTCAAAAAAACTTAAGGCATGAAAAAATCATCATACTTTTCTTGTTGCTGCATTTTTTAAATTCTTGTTTTCAAAGTATTATGAGATTCATGTCCTCCATGAATTGTAAATTTTCAAATAGAGAACTCGATCCATAAGGTTTAAGGAATTGATTCATAATGTCAAAACCAATCTCAAACCAATTTTTTTTCTTCAAGTGAAGAAAGATGCACTCCCATGAAAACATTTGCTTTTACAGAAGTGTGCGTTTACACCATGTATCTACAATATCTCTGCTGACCTTTTGTAACTCCTTTTCTTCCTCCATCTTGGCTGTCAGCATCATGGAGAGGGACTGTCTACAATCTCTGTTGAAGATCTCCCCCATCAGTGGAGTTTTCTCGGCCAGAACTCTCAGACATGTGGCAATTCTATCCACATCATCATCAGTTATTGGCTAAAAATAAAATGGAGGATGACATTTAAAATGAATTTGACATAGTTCAATAAATCTTGTTATCTGCTAAAATCACAGTAGAGGGTAACATTTCAATGAATTTGAAAGAGGATTAAAATATATTATATTGCACCAAGAATAAATTCTTAAAGAGGAATGCTCAGCTTAAAATCTACATAAAAACTAATTTTTCAATGTACTAGATAAATTTACTTGACTTTAAGTCAGTCAATTTGAAAACCATACTATTGTGAAAAACAAAAGATTCTCACCTTTGTGGGCAGTCCAGATTTTCCAAGATGAATGATTGCTGCCATGATCAACATAGACTCAGCAACTAAGGACTGTAAATAAATATTGAAATCTTTATATTAAATGAAAGATTTCCTTTCACCAGAAAATACTGAGATAATCATCCATAAACATCCATTTTCCATTTCCTACCTTTTTAATAAAAAATTACGTGTATATGACGGATAAGGTGTTGAGCTTACATTTTGCCTTTTCAAGTCCGGAGTATTAGCAATATACTTCAGGGCCAGTTTTGTTAGTGTGGTGGCCAGGGCAGCTCCTACAAAGAAGTCTCCATCCATCATGTACTGCCTCATTGGGGGTCTGTAATAAAAATATTGTGTCAAATGCTTCCAATGACTACAATAAAAAGCTATGTAATTTTGCACCTGTGGAGGCTTAGCAAAATAGAACTTAGATTCTCTTTCTGTGCTATACTAACAGTTTTAGATCGAAGGTCATGAACTCTTCTTTCTTAAAGAAAAATATGCTTATGGTGAAGTGCCACGGGTGAGCAATTTTGTATTGATATAAACATAATTTGCTATATCCATTAGGGGTGGGACGATATACCGATACACCGATACATACCGATATTTTCCTCCAAGATACAGTTTACGATACAAGCATTCAAATATCGGTACGAAACGATACACGAACGACCCATCCAAAAATTGAAAACGAAAGTACCTGTCCTTTGAAAATGGCAGCTTGTACGAAGTGAAGAGATTATTTTGATATTTAAGACACACTTTAGAGCTAATAAGTCATTGATTAGGGGTAAAACGTTTTCACTTTTAAGCAGGCTCGGGAGATTGGACAAGAAAAGTCCAGTATGAAATGCGTTCTTTACACAGAAAATATTGTTTCCAGAACATTTGATATTATAAATTGTTAATCTATCTCGTACTTTTTTGTAATCTCAACTTGGCGACACACTTTCAGCAATGATTTATTAATAATGTAAATATGATCGATGATTTTAAATGAATTTTTAGTCCGTGTTCTCTGATGAAATACACAACTATTTGTAAACAAATTCTGAATAGTAATAATAGTATGTACATGTATCATTGTTTTGTACAGTTTTAGTCAATGAAATTCAAGTATTAATTTCAAAGCAAAGTTAACATGATTTGATGTAGAATAATTTGTTGATTTAATGTCTAGACAAAAAAAATAAAATACTTATTATTTGGAATAGATTTATAATTTATCATAATATCGAGATATGTATCGTATTGTGCCAATATATCGAGATACGTATCGTATCACAAGATGTGTGTATCGTCCCACCCCTAATATCCATTAACTTAAGGTCAAGATCTAGTAAATGACTTTAGAAAAACTTTTCAGTGCTAAATCCATTATGACGTCATAATCACTTTCAACTTTCTTTTTCCGGTACTTACGGCTCTAATAGAATTATGTAGAAAATAAAGTATTTTCATGGAATTCAATTTGAAATCACATGAAAAGTAGTCCCGATACCTATCTTAAATTTAACATTATTTTAAAGTAGAGACTAAGAACATACAAATAACAGTTTTCTGAAAAACTGTAGGCAATCTGGATACATTTTCTTTGTCTGATATGGAAAAAAACTCCCATTTTCAATACTGGTTTTCTTAATTTTTCATTGAAAATCACAGTTAAAAATATGGGTTTTCATCTTGTTTTTCTACGAAATATGCCCCGAAACACCCATTTTGACCAAACTAATGTTATAAAGCATCATTAAAGGAATTAATTTCTTAAATTTGAAAAATCTGTAGGCACCTTCCATTTACTAGATCTTGACCTTAATATCTTAAAACTCCTGAGAATGAAAATCACTTCAACAAAAGTGAAAATTCTGTATTCCCTGTAACAGTGAATTACTATAGATTGCCTGTCCATCGTCTAATGCTATTTGTAGCACCTGTTCACTTGATAAGGCACTGCAGATACAATACCTTCAATAAGGATCAAATGAGTGAAAAAGTGACTTCATTGAGATTTTTCCACCTTTCATATATAGCAAAATGATCTTCATGTCATCTTACTTGTTTATGAACAAGTGTAAAATATTCATTAAATAATCCAGTAAAGCCTACCTCTCCTCCTTCTTTGCTGAGGATGAGGCAGTGCTGAATGCACTCTGTGTGGCGTAGGTTCCATCAGCCGTCACCAGCTTCTGTACCTGTCCTCCCGACTGCATCTCTGTCAACAACAAACAGCATTCAAAACTAAAACTTAGTAACTCAAAATTTAGTTTCTCAAAAAAAAATCCTTCTAAAGACTTGTACATAATGAATTCAAAAGAATCGGAAAACTGTGCGTCAATCTAGGACCAAAAAAGACTTGAGTAAATGAGGTATAAAACTGACCATCTTCTTCCACTTCTCCCGCTGCCTTCTTAATCTCATCATCCACAATGGGAATCTATAAAATACATGCACATTGAAGTATATGTATAATACAGTACATCAAAAACATTAGCAAAACTGATTTGTGAGCTTTCATTACCTAAATAACAACCAATGGATAAATGTATAGGATACATATATGCACAATGTTCAAGTAAATGATACAGGATGGAAACTACAATTTGGGTAAGTTATTCCTACCTCTCCAAGAGCCTGTCTGAT